CCCCAAAACCCCAAAACCCCAAAACCCCAAAACCCCTCATCTGCACTCCTTGTTGATACAGTCAAAAAATAGTAAATGTCTAATATATGAATAAAGCTCTAAACCCAAGTCCAAATTCAATGTTTTCTCAGTTTAATATACGATAATAATCGGCAATAAGCATACATTCAAGATTAAAGCTTTAGATAATTTACTAATAAGCAAGGTACAAAAATCTATTTAAAAAGAGCAAGAGAGGGCTCTACATCAGCTTAAAAGCTCTATATTTTGTGAGAACCTTATTATTCCTGTTCTTACAGAACTTATACCTTACTTGGAGAGAATTAAGAGTAGGTGAATACTAACCAAAATGTGGTTTAAACTTTCAAAACGGACTATACTGTGTTAATAAAGAAACCTTCATGAAATAGCTTGATGTGTTTAACATGTAGAGTATCAGATAGTATTGGTAACAGCGCAGATTAGTGTCAATGTAATTGAGTAAGAATGTAAGTATGTAGGGTGTAAATGAGTGGGTATGTAGAGGCAGCCTCAAGTCGGGACAATGCCAATTCAGTGCAGAACACTGCATTTACCCAACCAGAGATTTACATGATGATAGATTCATCTTCGGATAGTATGCTAAGAACTTCATCTCTCGTGTAATCAAAGTTGGTTTTAGCCTTTAAGCCAAATGTGCAAATGCTTTTCTTATCATACATCCTAGCAGCAGCTTCTTCGGATTCGAAGCCACCTTGGTACTCTTTGAAATGGTTGAGTGTGATCATTACCTATAATAATTAACTCAATTCTGCTTATAGTTTACCTGCCACTTGGATTTATTCTTGGAAACTCCCCAGTATTTAGATCCTCTATAATTATATGCGTTGATCTTGGGATCCTTTTTGATATTTTTGACTCTTCTCTTGAATATTATTCTATTACCTCCAGATTCAAGCTTCTTAACAAGTCTTCTTCTTTCATCTGCTACAAGTTCTTCGATGTTGCCTTTTTCAACTTTTCTCTTGCCTCTTTTCGACTTCTTTTCTTCCTTAGGATTAGATTCAAGCTTTGTGTAAGAATCAAGCTCTGTATCCACTTGACTTCCTGCTCCTTCTTGGCATAACTGGGGTAAAGGCTTTATCTCAGAATTCTTAGTTAAGTTGAAAATTGGTTTAGTTTCGTACTTATTAGGAACTTTCATAGCAAAATCAATCTCTGGAGTGAAACGTTGAAACAGATCAATGTCAGAGGTAACTCTTGCACCTTCCCTTGCTTCTTCATTGGTAGTAAAGAAACCCAAATTTTGGGTTTGAGTATCAAGTCCAAACAGTTGCCTGTTGAACTCTAATGAAGATGCAGAAAGGTAAGCATCCATGATAGTTTTCTTCTGGAAGAGTAGATCCTGTCCTTCAAGGCCGATCTGTGCGGGGAGTTCCAACTTATCCAAGAGATTAATTGTGTTCATTTTTAGAAATTTATTATAAAATTTAATAACTTTAAAATATAGCTCTAAGGGGTTTTGGGGTTTTGGGGTTTTGGGGTTTTGGGG